GTTTTGAAATTAAATCTACTTTTCCAATAAAAAGAATACAGAAAATATAAAAAAAAATGTAAGCAACAAAAATAAGGTATATTTTTTAAATATACCTCTATGTTTAATTCAGCGACATCATCCCGATATGTCCATTCTGGGAAAAGATTTATGAATTGCAACGGTTCTAGACCAGCCCATACTAAATATATTGGAAGATTCGTTGTTTGTGTGTTTCGAGTTTTTTGCCAATAGCGTATTGCTATCGTCATCGCCGCTCTCCTTTCGGCCTGCCATCGAACAGTCTTGCTTCCAGACTGATCTTCAGTTTCACTATCGGGCCACCATCCTTGCCAAATCCAAAGTACATCTTTGTCATCCAATAAAAATAAAGCTGAAAATTTCATTCGATAAAAATGCTTGTACATACAATACAAATTGTTATACAATACAAATTTATTATCTTTATTAAAAATAATTTGTAAAAAATTTTTCTCGTGAAAAACCGACAAAATGCATTTTTTTAAGGGCACCATACCTGGTTGATTCGCTTGATACAAATCGTCTTGTGAAAAAGGAAACGGTGTCGTGAGATCTGCGCGATACGGACAAAGTATTTCTGTGGCGTGAAATTTGTTAAAGATACTCGATAAATGATAAAGCTTTAGAGTATGATCTTTTATCTCGGTTGTTCTTAGCGACCAATACAATTTTTTATTTATGCCACCTAATGCTGAAAAATATAAAATATAAGTGCATTATCGATTTATTATAACAACATTATATTATTTTACAACAGGAGAATAAATTGAAAAAAACTCTTGTATATGTGCAAATTAAATACTTCTACTAAAAACCTTATTCACCATTACTAAATTCTTCGAGTTCCGAGCCCTCTTCAATTTCACAAATTTCTATGTTATTTTCGTTTGATAATCCAGCTTCTTCAGGTCGAGATTCTTTCAATTTAGATGCGGCTTTTATTGCATTCTGTAAAAATAAAAAAAAAATGAAAATTGAAGAGATAAACATAGAGAGAGACAAGAAGATACAGAAATAACATAGATGGAAAAGAAACAAGAAAAGAAATTTACTTCTCTAATATGACGTAATGAATTATTCCCATGCCAGATATATAGTTTTCCATTTTCGGTATCTAACAATATAAAGGAACCTCTACTTCTCAATTGTCGAGTACTGCAAGAGATTTCGATCAAGAATGTCTCAGATTCTAAAGTTCCTTGACAAATATACAATCTCCAGCGTTTCTCACATTTTTTGTCAGATTTTTTGCCACTGTGTACCACCATCTTTCCAGAGAATAAATTTAAAAATGCAGCTGGTTCATGTCCTTGAACAACATGAATCTGCAAGTATACGTAGCAGATAATAACATACATACATTATTAAAATATATCTCTTGATTTTTATCTAATATTTAATTCGTGATGTGCTAACAAAAAAACATCAATTTAAAAAGAAACAAAATTATAAAATTCAATTAGATAGATTATAAGTTTACTATTAATAATACGATTTAGTAATACAGCCATTTTATGT